GTTGTAAAACCTTTTAAAATACATTGTAAAACCTTATAAATACCTTGTAAAAAACCTTATAAATTTTTCCTGCCAAAAATTTAACGCCAAAAAATTGCGGAATCACTTTTCCCGCAAAAAAAACTTTTTGGCGGGAAAAATTTTGGCGGGAAATTTTACAAGGTATTTTAAAGGTTTTACAAGTTTTTACAAAATCAAATTTGTAATTTTGATGTGTGCACATTCTCATGTTTTCCTTATATATTTGTAATATTTTTTATTAAAAGAAGGGTAATTTAGTCATTTTGTACATAAAAAGGGTATTTTTAAAATTGGACAGCCAAATGGGGCATTTTTGAAAAGGGGTATTGAAAAAAGGGCATTTTTGTGAGTCTCCCAAATAAATTTCATTTAAAAATCTTTACTTAAATAAAACAAATCTAAATAATTAATGCTAATGGCATGTCATTGTAAATACTTCTCTACTTCAGGATTTATTTACTAATTATGATCCAAAAATGTATATATAGATAAATGTTACATTTTGATCACTGATCACATTGTAAAATTACCAAACAAGCGATATAGTTGCCTCTTCCTTCTTCTTTAATTTATATACTACAATCTCTTTAACCTTTACCTAGAGTGGTGCACCAACAATATTTAACAGGGCTAAATTTCGAAAATGATTTACAGTTTTGGAACACAAGTGACTACCGACACATAGAATTACTACGGGACACAAACAAAACTAACATGTCCGAACAATAAGTAACACAAACCATCAAGGCCTTGAAGATGAGCCGGCCCAATTAAGAGGCCCAACAAGCTCGACTGTATACACAACTCAACAAAAACAGCTTTTAAGAAGTCTTCTTCTTCACCACATTTTTGGGAATCAAAACCCTGAAAATGGCGGCAGCTACTCAATGTCTCTCCCAACCTTCATCATCTCTAAATCCATACCAACTGAAGAACCAAACCTCACAACTCTCCAGAATCATCCCTATCTTTTCTCTTAAATCCACATTGAAGCCACTTAAACGCCTCTCCGTGAAAGCCACCGCCGTTTCCCAAAACTCCACCAAAACCCTCACGAAGTTCGACCACTGTTTCAAGAAATCATCAGATGGGTTTCTCTATTGCGAAGGAACTAAAGTTGAGGATATCATGGAGTCAGTCGAGAGAAGACCTTTTTACTTATATAGTAAACCTCAGATCACGAGGAACCTCGAGGCTTATAAAGAAGCATTGGAAGGTGTGACATCTGTCATTGGTTACGCTATCAAAGCTAATAACAATCTCAAGATTTTGGAGCATTTGAGGTCTTTAAGCTGTGGTGCTGTGCTCGTCAGTGGAAATGAGCTCAGACTTGCTCTTCTTGCTGGTTTCGATCCCACAAAGTAACATTCTTTATTGCCCTGTATCTGATTTAGAGAGATTTAACTTGGAGTTGACTTCATCCCAATAATAAAGTGTTTGACTTTTTGAGTGAATCAGAATATGATTTGGTGTAATTGCTGACTCAGAATATGTATTTGTTGTACAAAATGAATAGGTGCATTTTCAATGGAAATGGCAAGTTGTTGGAAGATTTAGTTCTAGCTGCTCAGGAAGGTGTTTTCGTTAATGTCGATAGTGAGTTTGACTTGAATAACATTGTGGAAGCTTCAAGAATTTCTGGTAAGCAGGTCAATGTACTGCTGCGTATCAATCCTGATGTCGATCCTCAGGTAACTTTATTTTAGCATCATGTATAACATAATTGGGCTTGGATATTAGTTAGTGAGCTTTTCTGTTTGGTTACATTTTTCAGGTGCATCCATATGTAGCTACTGGGAACAAGAACTCAAAGTTTGGTATCCGGAACGAGAAGCTTCAATGGTTTCTGGATCAGGTCAAGGCACATCCCAAAGAGCTGAAGCTTGTTGGAGCTCATTGCCATCTAGGTTCTACCATTACTAAGGTAACTTCGATTATATATAGTTGCTAAAAGCTGTGTTTTGATGTAATCAGATGAATATGGATTTCTCTCTGTTTATTTTTTTCCCATGTTTTGCTCCGTTTCTTAGATCTCGACTCTTGAGCTCTACATATTTGCGTATGATTTGTTTATTCCAGGTGGATATATTCAGAGATGCTGCAGTTCTCATGATAGAATACATTGATGAGATCCGGCGTCAAGGTTTTGAAGTTAGTTACTTGAACATTGGTGGTGGTTTAGGGATAGATTATTATCATGCCGGCGCTGTCCTTCCCACACCCATGGATCTCATCAACACGGTAAGAACAACATTTCAAAACTCTTTCCTTCATTTGATCTCATAAGTACTGGAACGGTAGAAGTTTTTACAATCCTTGATGTGTGTGTTCCAGGTAAGAGAGCTTGTTCTTTCACGAGACCTGAATCTAATAATCGAGCCAGGGAGATCTCTGATTGCAAACACTTGCTGTTTCGTCAATCATGTAACTGGTGTGAAGACGAATGGAACTAAAAACTTCATAGTGATTGATGGAAGTATGGCTGAGCTTATCCGTCCCAGTCTTTATGATGCTTATCAGGTAAAAAAACAAATATGCTTCTAACAACAGCATCTGCAGATTTTGGTCCCTTGGAGTTAAGCTAAATATCCATGCTCTTGTTCTTGTTTCTTAACGCAAAAGCACATTGAGTTGGTCTCTCCTCCACCGCCTGAAGCAGAGGTTACCAAATTCGACGTAGTGGGTCCTGTCTGTGAATCTGCTGATTTCTTGGGCAAAGACAGAGAGCTTCCCACTCCTCCACAGGTATGATAAGGATCTGATTCTGTTTGGCAGCTCAAGTAATGTGGAATCTAATGAGTTTCATTACAGGGAGCCGGTCTGGTGGTTCATGACGCTGGTGCATACTGTATGAGCATGGCTTCCACTTACAATCTCAAGATGCGCCCTCCGGAGTACTGGGTACCAACACATTTTCTTGTTTTCTGGGGAAATCTTAGGAGAATCAAGATCCCGAGAGAATTTTAACTAGTTTTCTTCAATTTGTGTTGTTTGTTTTTGCAGGTTGAAGAAGATGGGTCGATCAGTAAGATAAGGCATGCTGAGACATTCGATGATCATTTGCGTTTCTTTGAAGGTCTATGAACTCTGAGATTTACTCATCATTGTTGGTTTTTATTTGAATTGTATGATTATTTGGAATCAGAACCATAATGCTATTGCTGTTTTAGATTTTCACATTCTGTGCTTTGATTCAAAGTCCCCAATGAAGTAATCATATGAATAAGAAAAAGGTCACAAGTCAAGACAGAAAATAAAAGGTGAATTTGTGGGTTATGATTATTCTTGTGGTTTCTTCTTATTTACTTCAAGTCCAAAGTTGTCCATTGTCCAAACACACAAGACTTGAGAAACTAAACTTGAAGCCAACGCAATGTCAAAGCTGTTTTAAAACCAGAAACCAAGATTACACCGAACCAACAAAATCTGTAATACAGGACTCCAGAAGCATCCGCATACAAAAAAAAATCCTTGAGAATTAAGTAATGGATGTCAATTGTCAAGGATGGCCTTTAAGATCACCTAGTCTGTTTTGGTTTCATTACACAAATTGGATGAATAAATCCTCAGGTTTCAAGGAACACAAGATCAAAGAGAGAGCCAGTAAGAAAAAGTTACCTATGAAACCGAATGCTTCTAAACAGAAGCATAACAGCTGAACACAAAAGCCCCAGTGAACGCCCACTGATGACATATCGATTCGCATTGCATATTTTGTTGACAATGTACCTGTAGAAATTAGGGAAGTAAACTAAGTGCAAACATAAAGACTCATCTAAGCTTTCTTTCCATAGCTATAGGAAGATTTTTTCAAGCTTTTTGTTCACAAATTTGCTTGCAGAACAAAAGGCGAACACGCAACCAATATCTACAATTACCTTGTCATCATTAATCAAGAACCTGATAAGAAGATTCATTCCATAAGCTAAAACAAGATAGTTCATAGTTCACAGGACAAGTAAAGTGAATTTGGTTTATTATGTAGTGAATTACCGTCACTAGTAAAATTTTATCATGGTTTATTAGGAAGATTCCAAAATAAACCTTTTTTTGCATGTAAATGAGACGGTGGCGGAAACTTAAAGTAGCAAAATGGTCCCATGCGACGCCGTATTGGCGCGGCCACCACTCTCCGCCATAGAATAGAGGTGGTCCTTTTCTTTGTGTGGTTTCTATAATACCGTATCAACTTTAAATGCTACAATACATGGTACAACGTCTAACAACTATGTTACCTGAATTGTCCCATCGGGGCATCAAATATGTGGTTGTATTTTTCTTCTTCTAAGTGATTAACTTAAACTTGGTAAGTGTTTAGTAACATCCATTGGAGTTGTAATAGCATAGTTTAATAATATTTGATTCATCAAAATAACTTCAAAAGTGAAATGAACATGTCTAATTTGGAAACTAATCACTTACCAAAATTTTGACGTTAATTTATTTATTTATTTTTAGTTGGATGATCATAAAACTAGCAAAATAATTATTCAGAAAAAGAAGAAGCAAACTTTTTTATACAACAAATAAATTCTAAATACTCTCAGCCCCTACAAATTGGCTTTTGAATTTAGTAAGAGACGGTAGTGTATGTATGTATGTATATGTCATCTTCACGAATTAATGCTAAAAAGTTTGGCAAATCTTTGGTTGGCCAACTCATTTTGCTGTGATATGTTGTTACCATTATATGTGCATGTTGCTGTCAAATTTTCTCTTTTCCAGAGTTTTAGAAAATTATTATATAGTGATGATATTAACTGGTACGTATCATATTACTCGGCCTTACATTAAGAGGATTACATAAAAGGAATCTGGGATATTAAATTTAGCATATTTTTTTTTTGTTTTTTTAATCATTGAGCCACATTATCTAAATCTGAAAAGAAATACTTTATTCCGTATAGTCTTGGGAAATATAAGATGAAAATAAATAGCTATGAGAAGTTGAGAACCGATCAATAAGATAAAAAGAACAACAGATAATTCATAGGACGATAATTTGAGAAGAGCAATTGAAAGCTAAAAAGGTGATAGTTGTCGCCAATTTACTTTTGCTAAAATTATAAATGTAAGCCCCCACACGGTCGTCCCTTTTGAAAGCAACTTCGTACCTATCAATTGATTTTGCATCCGTACCACTGTTTATAGATATAATCTGGATTTGGTCTTTGTTCTGGTGGTGTTTATATGTTGTGTTGTCGAATGATTTCTTCATCATATAGGTTCAAAGCCAGAGATGCATGGTTGTAATTTGGTACATTGATACTTGACACTGAATAATACCATATAATTAAGCTCGGTGACAAAAGAACAAGTTTTTGTGTGTGTGTGAAATATGGTGGTTGATTAATTTGCATATCTAATTTTATAATATCAACTAATTGAAAATTAGGTTTTGATTTTGTCGGGAGTGTAAGTACTCTTCCACGTATATTATTGTCCTTTTGTAGATGCAATCATGCAAGTACTTTAACACTTTCATACTCTCTATAAATTCATTTCACTTCTTACCAAAACCCTGCACAAATAATCTTGTCAGCAATCTCTCATTTCTATCTTTTTTTCCTTCCCATGCTCAACGAAGAAGCTTTCTTCTCCCAACACTCTCTTTTCGATTCACAAGATCTCAATCAGAAATGGAAACAGTTAAGACCTCCAGGTTTATCACTGAGGTGGCTCCGGCTAAGTTTATATCGGCGACAAGAGAACCATTCAAGAACATGTTGACAACCATCTCCGAGGAAGACTTTGATTTTGATGAATTAGTCAGAGCCACTGCAGATAGACTCTCTTCTTCTTGTCCAGGCTCCTCCTCCTGGTCTCTTGCTCACTACGCCAAGATCAACAGAGTCTCTTCTTCTTAGAGCATTCAATTGCCATCCCAAAATGCATTTTTTCTCTCTTTTTTCAATAATACCAAAGAAGAAGATTTGTTTGTAATCTCTTCAGCATCAGAGTTTTCCATCTACTTCTCGTTGTTGAATGTTTTCCCGCTAGCGTTCTTGAATTATATGTTATGATCACTTCTGTTTATTAGCATTCTTGAATCACCTATGATCAATCCTTTTATGAACAAGTGTACAACCAACCAATCATCAATATATTTTACTGGAACGAAACCAAGTCGTCGACGTTAATGCATATCGAAAAACCACACGCAAATACACAAATTCAAGAACGTTCTTATACTATTAATTTCCAAAAGGACTTTGTATATTTGTGTAAAGCTTCATCGATAAGAGGCAAAATAATAAGAAGGCTTTATATTATACAGAATGAGATCTGTTTTTCTTTTTTTCTTTTTCCGGTAATTACGTTTACTCTCCCAAAAATGTAATAATAATAGAAAAGAAAAAAACTCACTTCACCCTCACAGTGGCAGGAAAAAATGTTGATCCGCTCTCTCTGTATCAGACCAGTCGGATGGTTAACCAATGGTGAAAATGAGGACTGAGGAGTGTGTATGAAGGGAACCAAGTAGAGAGGCTTCAAGCACCCAGAGATTTGAGTCATTTTTGTTTAAGCAAAAACAATGGTTCACGAGTACTTCTTCTTGCTAATTTCCCATATACGGTTTACCAGATCTGCTTTCAATCCCTCTGGAATCTGCGATTTTAAACTTGATTTCACATCTTCAATCAACAACCTCCTGCACAAGGTCCAACCATCCACAACATGAGTAAAAAATAAGACGATTATAGTGAAGCACAAAGCCAAAAGAGGTCCAAATTCTAGCTGTTATACTCAAGTAAGAGGCAGAGAGAAAGTATGAGAAGATAGTAAAGAACAGCAAAAAGTCGTGTTTTACTTACTTTAAGTCGTTACCATCTTCTCCTCCTGATTGCTCTGTACGCAATCTCTTCTTGGCCCGCATGGAGATGTGTACCTTGTCATACCATCCGCATGACCGTAGATGTGACAACGCATCTTTCTTCAGGCTGAGGAATATGCAACACAATCAATTCTAGGTTAGCTATGGCATCAGATATAATCGTGAGTATTAAACAAAAGCACAAAACTGAAGTTACCTCTCTTTGATTGCTTCAAGTTCATTCCGAGATGATTCGTCTTTTCTAAGCAAAATGCAGGGGTCTTCATTTGTTGAAGAACACAAGCCTTTGGATTGGGTGGTACTAACACCGTTCCTCTCAATTTCCTGGTGAACAGTTCCATTTTGTGAGCCATTACTTCCACATGGATGTAAGTTATCCTTGTAGTGATCACCCCCATTGCAGGAGCCATTACTACGCTCATGGGGATGCACTGTCACTTTATGATTACTACTACCTGGTGCACTGCCGTTTTCTTTAACTCCATTGCCACCATTTTCAGTACCAAACTTTCTCTCCGTGCCAGACTTAACTCTAGTCGGCAAAACTGATACACTATTCTCTTTGTTCGCTTTTGGAGCTATGTTCTCATCTTGGTGGAAAGAAAGTCTACCATTGACAGAAGGAGAGACCCTTTTGGCACCAAGGTTGACAGATATAATGACTTTCGCATGTGGCTTTAAAGGCGCCTTTTCAACTTTGGAAGAAAGCAGGTTATCCTCTTGGAGGGCCTGCTCGGCTCGTAGTTTGGGCCCAATAAATTTATGGGGCTTTGAAGAAGCCAGTTTTACCTTCTGGAAGGACTGCTCGGATTGTGGTTTCATGTTGACACCATTAAGGGGCCCAATAAACTTCTGGGGATTTGATGTCTCACAGCCATTAACTTCATGAGATGTAGTCCCATTGGATGTTACCAGAGTTTTAGCAGACGCTGGCCTCTGGTTTGAACGGCTGAAAAACAGGATATAAGCTTTCTCTGATAAAACCTCCTGCAAGGTGGAGAGCGAGACAAACGAATCATTGCAGCAATACCATCTACCCAAGGAATCCTACACAAGCAGTTAAGATATCAGCAAGAAGTTCGAGAGTTCTAGTTGCATGGAAATTGAAAAAGGACAGAAAAGAACCTTAACGTATGCATAATAGTGCCCAGATTCAGGAGAAAATCCTGAGTGCACAATTATCCCAAAAAGCTTGTATTCCGGTTGAGGGTCCTGCAGTTTTTAACAGAGTACACCGATAAGCAAAAAGTAGAAATTGGGAAGTACGGTTACATACTTACATAGAGCCAGACAATTTTCACAAGCTAGAGCACTATGATGATCCAAAAGGTGTGACACAGGGACTGAAAATCATATTGAATTTCATGTAAAAGAACTTGGAAGCATCAAATCAAATGTTTAACAGCCTATGACGTGATCAAACATGATATAGACTGGAAGCATAATAGCCAACTAAGCTGTTTGACTAAACCTTGTCTCAACCTTAAATTTTTTTCATTCCAACTTGTCGCATTCTTAACTAACCAGATATAATCAAGCAATATTTGAAAGGTGATGTCAGGCTTCTGTGTGACAAGAATATCCGTCCTGTCAGATTAATTGACAGTAGTTCAAAGGATAAAACTTAGCCAACGTAAAAACTATGAACGTTGCAATTCATTCGATATTCTATATGCAAATAATGTCGAAAGGCTTAATCAGGTTGAAAATCCAGTTAAACGCTGCACTAAACTATTCATCATGCACTACAACCCTAAAATTTCTGATATGCCTCTAACTAGATGTGAGAACCAGTGCACACTAACAGAAACCGGCAACACACTTAAAGTAAGTTGAAAGAGTCAGAATCTTGTACCTTGCTTGCTTTACTCATGAAGTTCGAGAGAACCAGAATCTCACCAAATGAAATGGCTTTATCAATCTTCCCACCAAAAATACCCCCAAACCTCTGCAAACCCAATTTACCAAAACACATTAAAGATATGATATATCTAAAATAATTGTCGCCTTTTGTAAAGAGAACATGATACACTTACTTTCAATTGGATAACAAGGATATTAGGCGCTTGGAGTATAGACATCTGCTTCCTCGCCGTCACCAGTTTTTCGCAGCTATATCAAAGAAAAAATATCAGTAAAAAAACAGAACCACAAACTGAAAGAGTCCTAAAGAAGAGAAAGCACTTACGTCTCGCATTTATACTTATTGTTGCCATCTAAAATCTCTGATTGAAAAAACTTTTGCATAGACTCCTTGACAGAGCTACTATGCAAAATCTCAAGACTGATATCCATAATCTCATCGGCTTTATTAGACTCGGCACCACATGACAAACACTTGACCTGGCTCTGCAAAGCACCACCAAAAATCTCCTTGACGACAGTATTGCCATTAAAGGGCTCATTACCCTTGATCCTCAACTTCTTGAGGCGGAGAGACGTATTGTGGCATGCATCAATGACGTACCGCAAGAACTCATGAGCATCCTCTTGACGCCCAAGCTTAAAATGCTCAGCAAAAATTTTGAGACAGCTTGAAATCTTGTTAGGCGCATCGGTTGTTAGATCCACACTAAGAGACCTTGCTATTCTTTTCTCAACTATGCAAAATGGACAATCCCGTTTCCTCTCCCCATCCACATATGAGTCACCTAATCACCAACCAAAAGCGTCAGAGATACAAAACAACAAAATGAAACAATTAGAGAACTCGATAACCCTAAAGTAGGAGGAGAAACGTACAGTGAGAGGAGTGTTTGTGAGTAAGGCAGAAATTAGCGAGAGGAGGAGTGAAAGTGAGACACTGAAGGACACTATTGAGGTAACAGGTGTTGCCGAGATTCCGTAACCCTAAGGGAGGACCATTCCTACGCTTCTGACTCAGTAGACTCGGCATCCAGCTCATCTGCAGTTTAAATCCCATTCAGAATCGGTTATTCTCCGCCGGAGAAAACCAACGAAGCAACCGCTCATCGCTGACTCGCCGCCGCGGCCAAGCCAACAGCTGCGATCGCATCTTTTGCCACCACGCGTTTTCCGAGCTTTTTCTCTTTCTCTTCTAATTCACGGTTTTGGGGCTTCTTCGCATCAATTTCTAGTCGAAATTAATGGAAGATTTTTAACGATTTTTGAGGAGTTGAGGAAAGAAGGAAGAAGAAGATCGAATTCGATGAAGGTAACTGCCGAGGGAAGAGACCCGCCCAGCAACAAACCCCACAATCCCTTCGCGATTTTTATTTACCCCTCCATTCCATTTTATTTTATTTTATTTTTTAATATAAATTCCAGGTAGGTAAACAAAAAAAAGAAATACTGTCACTGGGCCTTTTAGGCCCATATTTTAAACCAATAGAAAAGTCGGTACACGATTTATCTACGTGTAGTGATATTTTCTAATTATTAATTTTTAAGCTGATTGATATTCAGAAAATATTTACTTCTTGGGAAGGAAAAAAAATAAAACAAATTTTTTTTTTTCTCTGCCTTATGTGAATGATAAATATTCGTTCACCGTTCATATAATAACCTACAAAATGTGAATATCAAATTATGAGAATTGAACAAATTGATTAATCTTTCTTTTTTTTCCTGGTACAGAGTTTTGTATAAGTTATATAATTCGGACGGTACATATGACAAAACAAACAATCAAAGATTACCTCAAGAGTCAAGTCTGATGATGAGAAGCTACATTTTCTCGGCTATCATCATCTCTCTGAATTAGTATTGGTCTGTGACACCAACGGTATTGATTCACCATCTCCTGAAGTTTCTGTGGTAACTTTGGATGCTTCCTTCTTCAGCTTATGATTGTTATAAGCCGCTACACCGGCAATGGCTGCGTGTGAACACATAGCACAATGTAAGAGAAGCAAAACTCTTTCATTTTTAACTCCAATTGGTATGTGCGGAGTTTTGTCTTACCAATGGCGTAACCGAAAAGATTGATGATTGTGAGTTTTGTGTCGGCAAAGAGAAGAGCTGATACCAAGACAACCACCCAATCCTTGACAACCCCAGCAACTCGGATAGTGAGAGCGCTCGTATGAGAAATCACCAAGAAAACCGACAAGTTGAGGGCGAATGTACAGAGGGAATTAAGGGTCAACACTACAAAGTGGAAGTTCCATGGGCCATTGCCATCCATCTTCGATTTCTCTAGAAAGATCCACGGCACAAACAAGCAGATAGCACTGCAAAAGGAGTCACATAAAGATTTAAGTAAACCTTATGATTACATAATGAGAGAATTGAGATGGCTTCTTCTTCTTCGATTTTACTTACCTGCAGGGACTCACATAGTACATAAGAGAGATTGGGTTTAACTTGATGCCCTTCCTCTTGACAAGAAGTTCCATGAAGATTAGCCTCAGGGCTTCTCCAACAACACCACCCATTTGGTAAACCACTCCAATCCAGTTGATGTTTAATTCCCCATAAGAAGCTACTAAAACACCAAAACTTATGATAGACATTATCAAAAGCATCCTGCAGCTCATCATTTCAAGTCCAGCAGCTACTCCAAGAATAAACACAGCAACAGGCACTGCAAGTATGATGTAAGAATATATTGGTATCCGTAGTCAGATATAAGAAGTAAACATAAGACTTATAAGGAACCAAGAGCATGAACAGTTCCTTACTTATAGCCTTCAACATCTGCGCAAATGCAACTGATATGTACAGGTAGGCAGTGTTTCCCAACCAGAGGGTCATCGCAAACATTGCACCTATTGGAATAACTGATGTAACATATCTGAGTACATAAAGTGAATTATTACTACATTGAACAAAATTGGTAAAGATATTTAAATTATGGGTATTTTCAACTACTCCAAAATCAAATTGCTTACGAAGTCTCTTTCTTCCTTACATTTCTAGTGTCATTCCTTCCTCAACCTTCACGATCTTCATAGAGACATAAACAGAGAAAAAAAGAGACCAAAAGTTTGCATCACTTCAGTCTTTACTTGTGAACAAAAACAAAAAGATCATTTATTGCAAGATTACTACCTTAAGAACTTTGGTGAGAAGAAAGCACAAGACAGAGGAAAAGATCATATGGAGTAAAGTCAATCCAAGAGGATAAGGGAAATTAATTTCCTTAGATGACAAAACCCACTGCAGCAGAACAAATCAAAGACAAGAACGTTAGTCATGAAGCAAACTTTCCATTAACAACCATACCCTGAGGAAAAGAGAAAAAAACCACAATGCGTGAAACGTCAATTGCTACAATTTGAAAAACGGTGAACTCTGATGCATAAGCAATAAACAGAGAGGTCAAGAGCAAACGAAACAGGATCAAACAAAAAAACCAGCACAATCTTATGGCTAAATGAACAATGGGTGTTGGATTCTAAAATCTGCTAGTCAACTTCCTAGAAACTAGCACAGTACATTGCACAGAACCAGCTCAATTCCTTACGGAAACTAGCGATCGGAAAGAGCACAAAACAAATACGATGCGAGAACATAGATCCAGGGAAATCTAGATTGTGAGATTTAAGTTAAACCTTATTGAAGAAGATTTGACCACTAGAAAGGGCGATATAGAGAAGAATGTAAGCGTAGGTCACGAATTCATCTCTCATAAAGCCTTTGCTCCGATCCGCCATTGAAACCGATTATTATGATCTCCGATTACGGAATAAAAGTTGTTGCCTCTGTTTTTTTTTTTTTTTTCCCACTTTTCCGACTGCTTTTGTTTCTTCTTTTCTATCGTCTTCTTCTCCTTCACTGAGTACTTTTTTCACTTTTCCATCTTCTCAAATCTCAACAACATCTAAATAAGAGAGACGGTGACGACTATATGTGGGTCCCACTTTTATTATCCTCCTCGACGTATAAATCATAACTGTGGGCTTTCCCTCACATGTAAAGCCCAAACTATTATGTTTCGTCAGGCCCATAGTTTCGGACCTTGCACACTCGTCTATTGGAAATGAAAATAATTAAATTTTTCCTCGAGATTGTGAACGATGATAATATGAAAGAAAATGTAAGGAACACACAAGTAGCTTGTGGATTAGACACAACCCATCTGATCTTTGTCCGTATCTCCTCAACCATTCTTCACCTCCAACTTCTCATCCATATTAGTATAATCCAACTTGCCAATAATTTTTTCTAACTGTTACAGATTACTACATCAACAAAATTTTAAATATTTAACAAAGGATAAGAGTTAGATATATGTGATATAAGCTTTCCTTAGCAGTCACACTTTTCCTCTCTCGAGAGAGAGTTTTCAATCAAAGGTGTGTAAGATTCTGTGTTTACGATCAAACAGAGACACTGCGTCTGTGTTCTCGAGATTAGAATCACAACCGATAACTAACTCAGGGCTTTCTGGTTCTTTTGACAGAGTCACACTTGGGAAGATGGAGATCACTAACGTTACCGAGTATGATGCAATCGCAAAGCAGAAGTTGCCTAAGATGGCATACGACTACTATGCATCTGGTGCAGAAGATCAATGGACTCTTCAAGAGAACAGAAACGCTTTTGCAAGGATCCTGTGAGTTTTTCTCTTCTTAATAAGATAAGATACACTTTTTGTTATTGGTTTTCACAAGATAGATACCTTGGGATGATGTTTTAACAGCTTTCGGCCTCGGATTTTGATTGATGTGAGCAAAATTGATATGGCGACTACCGTCTTGGGGTTCAAGATCTCGATGCCGATCATGGTTGCTCCTACTGCCTTTCAAAAGATGGCTCACCCTGATGGTAAAAGACTTTAGCTTTTCCCTGAAACATTTTATAGAAACTGAGTCATTTCTAGAGAGTGAAAAAACTTGCTTTAGTATCACTAGAGACAAAGACTAAGGCTTACTCATTTGGGAAACTAATGCAGGGGAATATGCTACGGCTAGAGCTGCGTCTGCTGCTGGAACCATCATGGTATGTTATATTGAAAGGAAGATTTTTAAGTGTTAGAGCTGCTTAATCCACAATCCATGCATAACCATGTCTCTGGTTTGTGTTCTTTTCTTCCATGATGTTTCAGACACTATCTTCATGGGCTACTTCCAGTGTTGAAGAAGTTGCTTCCACAGGGCCAGGAATCCGATTCTTCCAGCTCTATGTAAGTCGCTTGATGAACAATCCTGATATACCTGGTCACACTTGATGGTTCACACTAACCTTATGATTGTTCCGAGTAGGTATACAAGAACAGGAAGGTGGTTGAGCAGCTCGTGAGAAGAGCCGAGAAAGCTGGGTTCAAAGCCATTGCTCTCACTGTAGACACACCAAGGCTAGGTCGCAGAGAGTCTGATATCAAGAACAGGTAAAGCTGCATCAATTGAAATGTGATAAGAGTTGGTTAGACTCGAACATGCAATCATATAGCATAAAAATTATAGATTAATGATGTGTGTTCTTCTACTACAGATTCACTTTGCCTCCAAACTTGACATTGAAGAACTTTGAAGGTCTTGACCTTGGAAAGATGGACGAGGCAAGCATCGATCAGATAGTATCCATTGCTTTAGTCTGGCAATGATCCATTTAAAAAACAAGTTATAAAGCATACGGTGTTGTTTCCTGATTATGTTCTTGTTATGTTTCCACCTACAGGCCAATGACTCTGGCTTGGCTTCATATGTTGCTGGTCAAATTGACCGTACCTTGAGCTGGAAGGTAAGCAAACATAACAAATTATCAGAGAGCACAGCAGAACCGAGTAGTTGAAAACAGAAATATGATTCAGATTGCTCTAACTTTCATCTACACGAACAGGATATCCAGTGGCTCCAAACAATCACCAACTTGCCAATTCTTGTCAAGGGTGTTATTACAGGAGAGGATGGTGAGTTACCATCTGACAAACAAATGTTTTACAACAACTCTAGTTTCATAAGAAATACCTGACAAGGTCAACTATTATTTTCCTCGTGCAGCAAGGATAGCGATTCAAGCTGGAGCAGCAGGGATCATTGTGTCAAACCATGGAGCTCGCCAGCTTGATTATGTCCCAGCAACAATCTCAGCCCTTGAAGAGGTAGATCATTCTCGACTACAAACATTAATTTGTGCTTATGTACAAAAACCTTAGCTCTATTCTCTTGTGTTCAGGTTGTCAAAGCGACACAAGGACGAGTTCCTGTCTTCTTGGATGGTGGTGTTCGACGTGGCACTGATGTCTTCAAGGCACTTGCACTTGGAGCCTCTGGAATATTTGTAAGCATCATATCATATATCCATTTACCAAAAAGCTTCTGAAAACCATTGACAGTAAATAACACAAAATGCTCTCAATCTCAGATTGGAAGACCAGTTGTATTCGCACTAGCTGCTGAAGGAGAAGCTGGAGTCAGAAAGGTGCTTCAAATGTTGCGTGATGAGTTCGAGCTAACCATGGCACTAAGTGGGTGCCGGTCACTCAGTGAAATCACCCGTAACCACATTGTCACGGAATGGGACACTCCACGCCATCTGCCCAGGTTATAGAGAAGAAAAAAACACAAAAACCAGAGAACAGCAACAACACAGAGCATGTAATGGCTAAAAATTATTCATATTCTGATTGATCACTTTGCTTATACTTTGCTATATTTATCTCAAAAACACTTGTTTCTCCCTATATCGGATCACAAAGAAAACATGCCTAGAGATTCTCTGTAATGCTATTTGGCTACTTTTACCTTTCATTTTGTTCTTCTTGCTTGTACAATAGATGTTGTTGATTTCTACACTACCGATGAATACTAAAATCTGGTTCCCGGAAAACTAGCATAGTCAGAAAAATCTTACATTGCACCTAACTTCCACAATCTTTATATCAATAGATAAACCAAAAAAAAAAAACTTCCACAATCCACAATCTACAAACTTCAAATCTGTGAATCCCAAAACAGCAGCCAAAATCTCACAGAAACTAGCCACCAAAAAAGCACAAAACATTGGGCTTACGAATCCGTGAGTCCCATATTGGCTCTGCTAGCATCGAAAGGCCCAATAGAATTAGGCTCACGAATTCAGAACTCTTGGATGGATTTATTCACTTTTTTCAAACAAAGAAAAACAATTGGTTTACGAATTATTTATTTTTTCGTCGAGATTAAGAACACGATAATATGTAAGAAAAATCTAAGATACACACAATCCATTTGATTTTTGTCCCTATCTCCTCGACCATTCTTCACCTCCAGCTTCTCATCCATATTGTTTCTTTCCATTGCCAACATTTTTTCAATCTGTTAAAAAAATTCACAAGCCAATTATTCCATCACAAATATTTAACCTTTAACCAAATATAAACGTTGAGATATATAATAAAGCATTTCCTTACCACTCACACTCTTCATCTCTCCCGAGAGCTCTATTCCATCAAGGTGTGTGCGATTCTCTGTTAATACGAAAACAAAAACCAGATTGTTTTGTGTTCTGGAGACTGAGAATCGTAGCTATGACTATGTCTGAATATCACAACTAATAACTAACTCTGGGCTTTTTTGCTCTTTTGACAGAGAGACACTTCAGAAGATGGAGATCACTAACGTTACCGAATATGACGCAATCGCAAAGCAGAAGTTGCCTAAGATGGTTTACGACTACTATGCGTCTGGTGCAGAGGACCAATGGACTCTTCAAGAGAACAGAAACGCTTTCGCAAGGATCCTGTAAGTTTTTCTTTTCTTAAGACAAGATATACTATTGTTATTGGTTTTTACAAGCGGTGTGATGCATACCTTGGGCTGTTTAATAGCTTTCGGCCTCGGATTCTGATTGATGTGAGCAAGATTGACATGACAACCACCGTCTTGGGGTTCAAGATCTCGATGCCCATCATGGTTGCTCCTACTGCCATGCAAAAGATGGCTCACCCTGATGGTAAATACTGAGTTATGTAGAGAGTGAAAACATGCCTTAGTATCGCTAGAGACAAAGACTATAAGGCTTGTTCTAATGACTTTGTTCGAAACTGATGTAGGGGAATATGCTACAGCTAGAGCTGCATCTGCAGCTGGAACTATCATGGTATGTTCTTATATCATACGAAATATATCATCCAAAGCAAGATTTCTTATAACCTTTTTGGTTTTCGGTGTTTGGAGCTTTTAAATCCTTGGCCCATGCATACCCATGTCTCTGGTTTATGTTATTTTCTTCCATGATGTTTCAGACACTATCTTCATGGGCTACTTCCAGCGTTGAAGAGGTTGCTTCCACAGGGCCAGGGATCCGATTCTTCCAGCTCTATGTAAGCTATCTCCATAGCTTGTTGTATATCCTGAAAAACCCGGTCACAGTTGATGGTTCACACGCTATGATCGTGGAGTAGGTATACAAGAACAGGAATGTGGTTGAGCAGCTCGTGAGAAGAGCTGAGAGGGCTGGGTTCAAAGCCATTGCTCTCACTGTAGATACCCCACGGCTAGGCCGCAGAGAGTCTGATATCAAGAACAGGTTAAGCCAAGTCATTTACTGGATTTTAATATGCAAACAAATAGCTAAAAAGTATAACATTCTTCTACTACAGATTCACTTTGCCTCCTAACTTGACATTGAAGAACTTTGAAGGTCTTGACCTCGGAAAGATGGACGAGGTAAGCATCCATCAGACACTATCTAGCACTTCAGTCTGAATATGATCTCACAAGACAAGTCTTACCGCAGACTTGTTATGTTTATGTGTCCTAAGTGTTCCTGAGCTTGTTATGTTTACTCCTGCAGGCCAATGACTCTGGCTTGGCTTCATATGTTGCTGGTCAAATTGACCGTACCTTAAGCTGGAAGGTAAACAGAGTAGTTTAAAAGATAAACAACTTAAATCAGAAACTTGATTTTTGACTGTTGTCACTTCATTCACACGAACAGGATGTCCAGTGGCTCCAGACAATCACCAAATTGCCGATTCTTGTCAAGGGTGTTCTTACAGGAGAGGATGGTTAGTTACCATCTGACTAACAAATGTCTGCTTCACTTAAGTTCATTAGAAAACACCTAACCACGTCAACTATAATTATCCTCTTTCAGCAAGGATAGCGATTCAAGCCGGTGCAGCCGGAATCATTGTGTCAAACCATGGAGCTCGCCAGCTTGACTATGTCCCAGCAACAATCTCAGCCCTTGAAGAGGTAGATCATTCAAGAGTACAAATGACAACGTGTGTTAACAAGTGCTTTTTATCTGACAATTTCAGATCTGTTCTCCTGTGTTCAGGTTGTCAAAGCGACACAAGGAAGAATTCCTGTCTTCTTGGATGGTGGTGTTCGACGTGGCACTGATGTCTTCAAGGCACTAGCACTTGGAGCCTCCGGGATATTTGTAAGCATCGTATTCTCGTTAACCAGATAGCTGCTTGAAACCATTGAATTAATAACACATTATTTTTATTCCCTCTCAATCTCAGATTGGAAGACCAGTGGTATTCTCATTGGCTGCTGAAGGAGAGGCTGGAGTCAGAAAGGTGCTTCAAATGCTACGTGATGAGTTCGAGCTGACCATGGCACTGAGTGGGTGCCGGTCTCTGAAGGAGATATCCCGTAACCACATTACCACCGAATGGGACACTCCACGTCCTTCGGCCAGGTTATAGAGAGCAAAAAACAACAACAACAACAACAAGCAGAGAACAGCAGCAACACAGAACCAAACTATTGGCTAAACTTATTCATACTCTAATTGGTACTTGGCTTCTACTCTGCTATCTATCTCAAGACTTGTTTCTCCCTCTATCAAATCACAACAATCCAAGCCTAGATAATGCTATCTGGCTACTTCTTTCTTAATTCCATTCTTATTGCTAAATTCCATGTATTTACATCCACACAAATCAGTATCTTGTGATTCCCAGATGATACGGTGAACTGAAGCATTCGAACACGAACGCTTTATTACTCAAAAGACAAACGAAGGAGAATTACATTGACCTATTGAGTAAACTGACATGTACAAGAAAAGAAAGATAAGCGTTCATTGCCGTATACAAGCACACACGTCCTACAGAAACATGAGCTTCACCCAAATCATTCAAAACAAATTCTTTTAGAACGGCCAGATGTCAGATCGACCGGGTTTCTCCACAAGAATCCGATTATACTCCGGCCTCGACGTCTGCAAAAAGAAAGACGCAAATCAACATGAGAAAAATGCGATCCGGAGTCGAAATCGAGCTGATTCAAAAGAATTTAGCCACGAAACTCAGATGAATTTACCAGATCTTTGAAGATGATGTAGGTTATAAGTATGAAGAGCACAAACAAGATCTCAAACTCAGCCAATCGGAAGAAATAGAATACTGAGTCAACAAACCGGGTCAGAAGAGAGTCATCTCTCCTCATACCTACTCGATTCGTTCCAGCACGTCGCCCGATCATCCTCGAAAAATTCCTCCCGCCGGTAATGATCACAGACCACCGTCGCTTCTCGTTTGCTCTCTCCCAAATCTTACCAGCGAGTTTGTTATCCGTCGACGAGTAAGAAAAGATATTTGCTTTTTATCACTAAAGCCTTTTACAATAATTTGGGCCATTATTTTTATAAGGCTAGATTTAATCAAAGCCCAATACGAGAGGATCAAATGATGCGTTAGTTGATTTCTGTGTGTTGGGCCTGGATATTCGTCGTATGACCCGAAGATCTATATTGTGTGTGGGCTCTCTTTCTTCGTGGGCTTGTTTCACTGGCCAGGTTGGTTGAGTACGAATCCTGATCAGAAGTTGTAGTCCCCAATATGTCGGCCGATGGATGTAGCACATCTTTTGCTTCTCTCTTTGTTTCTCTTGACCTTATCAGATTTTCCATTTTGGTTTCAAACTCCAAGTGGGTCCTTAAAAGAAGCATCCTTATCATGTCATTAAAGAGATGAGAAGAGAATGTTAAAGAGAGAAGATATGTTCTTTTTCTTCTTCTTAACCAGTGAGTGCCCTATGAGACTGGGCTTGTGGTACGTTGACGGTCACGTGGTCGTGTCCTTCTCTGGCCTTCAAAACTTCTAATACGTCCAGAAGTTTATGCGCGTGGCTGATTATGACATTTCATCCCTTTCGGGAATATGACGATGATGAAAGCAAATTGAAGTTAAAGTTAAATCTCAAAAGAAAATAAAGATAGAGAAAAAAAAGAAAATTGGTAATGCTTTATCCATTTCGTGGCTTTCAATCATGTGCTAAGTTTTCATATCATCATCTTAATTAAGCGGTCCATGGTGACTTGCCTCCAGACAGATTTTTCTTTGTCGCGATATTGCAAGATATGGAACCTGATTAATACTTTATTGTAATAACTTGCGACCTGTATTTAAAATGTCCTGGATAAAGTTTTCAAACATGTCGTACATCTCTGGATATCCAAATTTTATTACCAAAGTTTTTGGTACATTATTATTGCTTGTGCCAAATTATATATATAGATCAGTATGCTTTTTTAGTATTTGAATTCATTGGAAATTGCGTGCTTACAAAAGGGTGTTTTTTTTTTCGGTAACCAAAAGATTTCGAGTTTTAGGTTTTTAATCCCCTCAAAACAGAGATCATAGTATAGGCCTGGGCATAATTAATACCCGAACCCGAAAAACCAAACCGAACCCGACCCGAAAAATCCGACCCGAACCCGAACCCGAAGTTTTAAAATACCCGAACGGGTTCTAAACTTCACAACCCGAAAATCCGAACCCATACCCGACCCGAACTCGAACCCGAACAAGTACCCGAACATACCCAAAATATAAGTACATAGTTATAATATATTAGTAATATTTATACTTGTAATAACCTAAGTGCCTAAATTATTCGGATGTTAAAATATTTTCGGGTGTTTTAGCTACTTTGGGTTAGATATGGGTTAAAATACTTGGGTTTTTTAGATTTTTTGAGTATTTTTCAATACTTTGCATAGAATCGGATACAAAATTTCTAATATTTGGATACTTCGGGTAAACCCGAATCCGAACCCAAAATATCCGATCCGAATCCGACCCGAACCCGAAGTTTTAAAATACCCGAACGGGTCTTAGTTTTCTAAACCCGAAAAACCTGAACCCGAAAAACCCGACCCGAATATCCGAACGCCCGGGCCTATCATAGTAGGTTAGTTAGTCACGTCCCTAATAGCAAGACTCGAACTTAAGACTAGGCCTGGGCATAAAACCCGAAATCCGAAAACCGATCCGAAACCGATCCGAAAAATCCAGAACCGAATCCGAACCGAATAGTCACAAAATCCGAATGGATAATGAATTCTCCTATCCGAATTACCCGAACCGAACCCGATCCGAACCGAAAACCGAAAGGATATCCGAAAACCGGAAATAAAAATTATATATCCAAAAATATTAGTTATATTTAGTTGTAATTTTATAGCAAATAACAAAAATATCCTAAATATCCTAGATTTCGGAAAAATTTTAGTTATATTTGTTAAAATTATACATATTTTTGCAAAATTTAACCAAATTTTAGTAAGATTAAACCAATTTTTATTAACATTGAACTATTTTTAAGTTTTTTTTTCCCAAAAACCGATCCGAATCCGACACCTATCCGAACCGAAAGCGAACCGATGACTCATAAAATCCGAACGGATAATAAATTCTCCTACCCAAATTATCCGAATCCGAATATATCCGAACCGAAACCGAACCGAAAAATCATTAAATCCGAACGGATAATAAACTCTCATTCCCGAATTATCCGAATCCGAATATATCCGATCCGAATCCGATTTGAAATCCGAATGCCCATGCCTGCTTAAGACTTTAAAACGTATTTTCGTTGGAAGGTTATTCTAGTACATCAATATAGCTAGTGAAGATGGGTTTTGTAGAGTTATTCAGGCGTGTCTCTCGTAAAGATTTTACGATTTTTGGTGTTTCGGTTCATAAATAATAGTAACATGTACAGTTTAATATGAGTTTAATATGGTTTTGATTTATATTCGGATTTTAATCCAATATATATTTAATTTCCAAAAAATAGGTTTTATGTAGAATGATTTTCTTTTGGTTTTTGCATGGTTCATTTCAAATTCGATTTTTTGAATATAGAAATAATGACTCTATTTAAACTATATTAAGATTAGAACACATATTTCCGTTTCACAATTATTTTTAATTATTAATTCGATAAAATTATATAGCAGCTAGTCAGCTACTAATAAAAAGGATAATGGGTAGCCTCCTAATCAGTGTATGTGTAATATTCACGTAAACATTGAAAGATTATATAATTTTTTTAAAAAAAAACTTACAAAGAAAAGATTGTAGTACTATAGTCGTCAAAAAAAAAAAGATATACTGGTACATTAATACTATTAAATAAACATCATGTATCAAAGACATGATTGGCCTGTCTTAACGCTGAAAGGTCGACCTCCACACAACACAAATCCCCCCAGCTGTTTAATGCTGGTGGTTTCTTTCTGGGGAGCTTTACATTATATAATATCTATAAATAATGTATATATTCAGCATCAAATATTCATTCAAATGAATCGATTATTCTATGAAAAAGGATGATATCCAAGTAAAATTCGAATATATGTTATTGGATCTATGAGACTAATATATATGGTAGTTACTAGCTAGTTAGTTAGGATATTGTGTATATTATGCTAAAGTTTTGGAGGTGTAAGTAATGTGGCTTGCATTATTGGCGTTTTATCTTTTCATAATATATGAGGCACGATTATAGTGGTATACATCATCTTGTTCGTCACTCTCCTCCAATCCTTCACATTTTAAAAGCAACAAAAAAAAAAAAAAAAAAAAAAAAGCAACAATGAATTTTAAATTTTATATTCTATTGTGTTGCAAATAATCATTATCGCTTTTATCCACAACAACGATCTTATGCCAATGTATGAACTATGAACACGTGCCCCAGTCAAGATAGAGTAATACTTTCTCTCCTTTTTAATATTTTATCATATTTCTTACTTTGATCAATGACGCTTGGAATAAATACATAAATAATTCGTTTTGCATTATCATATAGTATACACTTATTGGACGAGTTTAAGGAGTCCCGATTTGGAAAATGACGAAGTCTGACTAGAGATATTGATAAATGACCAAAATAGTTTTTATATATTTGAGAATAAGACTACACAACCAATTTGTTTTGAAGAAAATCGACAAATTTAGTTATAAACTCTACACAAACACACATATATACAAAAAAAAAAAAAAAAAACACACACGTACACATAATAAGATGTGTTTATGTGTATCCCTTCATATCTTCAATGAACCATCCTTTTGTGTCGACTTCCCGATATAGTAACACATGTAAAAGTTCAATAGATACTAGATCACTAGAAAGCTGTACAAACTTTAATTATTTAATTTCAAATAGTTGAAAGCACAAGGGGTCCCCTCAATATTTCTTGTCACTCTTTAATATTTTATTATCTTTGGACATTTCGATATACTTTAGCTAGCATTCGGTAGTTTTGGTTCGATGGCTGATCATAACTAACATTTGCTGCGTTTGCCACCTGGCCATGCTCAATTATAAAAATATAGTATTATTATTTTATATACATATAAACTATACGACAGATAATTGTCAAAGAGAATATCCTTGGACGTTTCGTTGAGCTAATCATTTGATGCTTTATTGATTATCTGACTAAAAATTTAAATGTCGTGTTTAAAACTTAAAAGTGAATTCCAATCTCGAACCAAAAGAGCTATAAATTATAGAAATCTGAATTTCACAAAGTAAAAGTATGTTAATTCGTTGACAGAGAAAAAGTACGTTAATTCTTGTCAAGTAAAAAAGAACGTTAATTCATATTCATTATCGCTTTTTTCTAGTAAAATTGCATAGATAATCTTTTTAACTGTTTACGGGAACAAAAACTTCTTAACGTTTTGAGCTTTGTTTTTTCTGCACGAGAAAAATCTCGTAAATTATCGGCGTGTCGGCAATTTTATTTTTCAGTAGCACTAGTTTGCATAATTATCATGCCGTGGTTCCAAATGTTTTCTAGAATTTCTAATTAAGAGGAACAAACATTTTTATATTTCGAGAATAACAATGAACTGCTAACATTATTTGTTGTGGTCTCTTCTGATCAACGAAGAGCCAAATAAAGCGCCGCAAAATTAATCAATGAAACAAGGATGAACAAATTATGCAGAAACCAACAGAAAGATATCAGCTTTTATAATTCATGGCCTCCACTAGCTAACTATCTCTATAAGCTATGGACTCTTATTTTGCATTTAACACTATTTTTAGCTGGCTAAATTATTGATGATAAAAAACATATCTAAGGCTTAATGATAATTCATTTAAAATGATAGAACTGTATTCTACTTTTGTGACCCTTTACAGTTTTTTTGTTTTGTTTTACAAAACTGCATAATCTTTACTTGTGTTTGACAATTCCGCTATTTCATCAACCATGGACATTAATAAAAAAAATGTTCCCAGATCCATTAAGTTTGCAACTAAGTTAATTCTCTTAACAATTTGAATTTTTAAAAAAATTTAGATTGGACCATCACTATTTTAGACTTTGGCATACATGTTACCAAAGTCTACAATTCTAGAAAAGAAAGTATTAAAGCA